TTATGAACAACAAATACACATCTATCAACAAGTGAATATAAAAATCAAGTGAATAAATAATCTAATGAACAGTATGAACTGGTGATTGAAATAGAATCAGGGACATAGAAAGGGAATGGACTGACTATTCTTGGGGGGGGGGAAAGGGGTGTGGGGGGTGCAGGAAGAGATTGGACAATCGTGCACCTATGGATGAGGACAGTGGATGGGGAGTGAGGGCTGAGGGTGGGGTGGGAACTGGGTGGAGTGGAGTTAGGGTGGGAAAAAAGAGGAACCAATGTAATAATCTGAACAATAAAGATTTAATTAAAAAAAAAATAAGTGCCCTGAAAAGTAATGACAGTGACAATTTTGTGGAACTTTTGATAAGCACTGTTTAACTTGACCTCTGAAACCTCACAGGAGGTGTGGGGTACAGTATCCCAGCCCTCTCTCACTCTAAACACCATGCCCTGTGTGCTGGAAAACGCCTTTCTAGGCTCCAGGTGCTCTGCTTTGGGGGCTGGACAGGCAGGGAATATAGATGATGGGGGTGGAGTGGATGTGGGACGATAGGGTGTGGTGGGGAATGTGGCACACCTGTGATCATGTCCCTTCTAGAGAGGCTGAGCCAGCTAGCTACTGCTCACAGGAAGGAATAGAGCCCAGGAGCTTGGACCTTCAGACTTTTCTTTTTTTTTAAAAAAAAAATATTTTATTGATTTTTTTTACAGAGAGGAAGGGAGAGGGGATAGAGAGTTAGAAACATCGATAAGAGAGAAACATCGATCAGCTGCCTCCTACACACCTCCTACTGGGGATGTGCCCACAACCAAGGTACATGCCCTTGACCGGAATCGAACCTGGGACCCTTGAGTCCGCAGGCTGACGCTCTATCCACTGAGCCAAACCAGTTAGGGTGGGCCTTCAGACTTTTCAAGAGCAAGGCCAGCTGCACATGGCTTCCCATCAGCCCCACCCTGGAGCCCAGGGGTCTCAGTGTCAAGGGGAAGAGACAAGAATCCCCCAGCCATGTGAAGCCAGCCAGCAGGTCGGGGATCTGCCTCTCCCCTGAAGTTTCTTTCCCTGTTTAGGGAGGTGGTAGGAGGAATGAATGAATCAGGCCTCGAGAGCTGCTGCCTAAACTGTAAAGTGCTTATAGGCGCTAGGGGTGATGGTGTTACGCACTACAATGAACCTGCTGTGAGCAAAGGGGGAGGTACAGCGGGAAGCACACAACGTTCATCTGAGACAGGTCTGGTTTCACATCCCAGCTTGGCCCTTCACAGCCTCGGGACCCTGATCCTTTAAGCCTCAATTTCCCACTGCCCTCACTCCTCCTTTGCAGGGGCCTGAGGACTTTCCCTTCCCTTGGCCCCAGGGAGTTAACTCCAGCATGTTTACCACCCTTCCCCCATCTGCTCTTATAGGGAACACATTCAGCACCCTGGCTGGACTGGTCTTTGACTGGACAATCATGAAGGACACGGAGGCCAGCCGCTTCTCCGACTCCCACAGTGCACTACGGTGAGAACTACCTCTCCTGTGAAGGGAAATGGGAAAGGGTGTCACTTGGCTCTGAGCGGGCTGGGGGCTTTCATCGTAGTCATTGCTGCTGTCAGTGAGGGGCGATTGCCAGTATGCCAGCCAACATTCCCTGGGACTGATTTAGGAAAAAGTGTTTTGGCCCACACAGTTGTGTGGGAATTTTGATGCTTTTGCAGCCCATTGGGTGTGTTCTGTGAGCATTTATCAAGGAGGCTGAGTGTCCAACTATAAAAGAGAAAACTTGTCCCTGGTAATGGGGTACAGGGAAGGGTTCTGTGTGTCCCCAGAGGGCAGTCTTCTATTGGGGGACGGTTAATGGGGAGACAGGTTCCACCTAAGAGGACATTCTCGGATACAAGAGGCTGTGTTCCCAGCACCAGAGTACAGATGGATTCCTCACCTATCTTGACTCAGTCACTCCTCCCAATAGCTATGTGGGCTTACGTAACATGATTTTCTCCACTTTTCAGACAGAAACTGAGAGTTTGAAGCCTTTTGTCTCATATTAGTAAATGGCGTAGATAGAGTTTAAACCAGGTCTATATAAATCTTCACTATGAATATGGTAGCCACCACCTCATCCTGGCTGTTTGCATTTATGTTAGGTAGAATGAGGAGCCCAGGTCTTTAGGTACACTAGCTGCATCTGTGGTGAGTATCACTGTGCAGTCAGTGGCTACCACCTGTGGACCTTCTAGAGAGGCTGAGCCAGCTAGCTACTGCTCACAGGACAGCATGGGTGTGCATCCATCACACCCACAGGTTCTCTGGGCCAGTGGGACAAAGACCCAGGCCTGGGCTTTACCTCGGTGATACTACATTGCCTCATGCTTTATCAAGTATGTTTTAAAAGAGTATAATCCCTCTGGGGGCAGGAAAACTTAATTTTTAAAAATGTTGCAGCCATTTTCAGTCTATGGAAAAGTTGCAAGTACAGTACAAAAGGCGGTTTCCCTAAACCAGCGATTTTCAAGCAGCGTGCCGCAAGAATTTTTAAAACATGCAATAGCTGAATGGTTAGTCAGGGGCACGTTTCCTTAGATCATCAAGTAAAAAAATGACAACAGCCAACCCAACAAAGCCATCTGGTGTGAATGAATCAAAATTATAACTCTTTTTTGTCAAATTGGCAAAAATTATAACATGGCTTTTGATGTGCCACAGAATTTTAGTAATTCGTTTATGTGCCACGAGATGACAAGGATGAAAATTGCTGCCCTAGAAGAGCAGGTTTGCCAGCCTGTCGCCCCATCACCCTGAGGACTTTAATGTGCACTTACTGCCACGAAGGGCACTCCCTGCGTTTCCACAGCATACTCACCAAAATCTATAATCATAAAAGCGTAATATGCTAATTAGACGAGATGTCCTTCTGGACATCCTTCCGGACAACCTTCCGGACGAAGCCAGAGCTGAAAGGGAAGCCCAGGTCTTGGGTGCCTGCTGGCAGCTGGAGTGAAGCCCGGGTCCTGGGTGCCTGCCAGCGGCCAGAGGGAATCCGGTGCTGGCAGCCTAGGGAAGGAAGGCCTACTCTTGCATGAATTTTGTGCATCGGGCCTCTAGTTAGGAAATAAACACTGATGCATACAAGACTTCATTCAAATTGACCAATTATTCCAGTTCCATCCTTTGTGGCAAAAACCCAGCCCAGAGTCCCTCCATGTTGTCCTGTCACTTAGTCACTATCAGCCTGGAACTGTTTCATGGATCTCAGTATGTGTGAAGACTGCAGTCCAGTTATGTTGTAGGAGGTCTCTCATTTGGGGTTTGTTTAATGTTCACTCCCAATTAGACTCAGAGCTTTGCATCTTTGGCAGGAATATAAAAAAGATGAGATTCTGTATTCTTCTAATTGCATCATGTTACGATTTTGCTGGTCCATCACTGATGTTGATGTTGGTCCATCACTGTCATCACTTGGGTTGGGTGTCTGCCAAAGGCCCCAATATGAAGTCACTTTCTTACCCCCTTGCAATTTGCAATTATTTTGTGGGGAGCTAAGAGTCCAGTATTTATCCCTTTAAAGGTCTAGCTTAGGGCTGTAGGACACACCCAGGCATGGCTCACAGCATCTCCTGGCAGACATCCTTGTGTCCTGACCCTACACCCCTAGGCACCCTCCTGGGCAGAGCTCTTCCTGGGACTGGGACCATCAATGTGTTACCTGGAAGAGCTCTGGAATTGCTGGTATCTCATAAAGCCTGGGACATGGGCTTGGCAGTCAAAGGTCTGGATTCCAGTCCCGACCTGGTCACTTCCTGCCTAGGGTCTTAGTGAAGGAATGTGACCCTCTGAGCATCAGCTTCCCTCTGAGGGTGGCCCTGTGGGTCAGCACATGGACCATGTTCAGAGCCCCTGCTGGGCCTGTGCACACTAGATGTTCAGGGAATGCTGGTTCACGGGCCCTTTCTGTGCAGACTACCAGGCTTCATGCAAACAAAGATCTGGACCAGGGTCCATGAATGTGCAATTTTCATAAGGATGTTGGTGAGTCTGATAAGGAAGTTTCAGGGACACATTTCTAAGCAGCACCAACTAGGGCAACACCTCTCATTTTAGCACGTGGTACCTACCAGGAGTCCTTTCTGTGCCACTGGCCTGTTCTCTGCCACAACAGGCCCCTGAGCTCCCAGTCACCCCATATCTGAGTCCACAGCTAACTGAAATCCCAGGTACTAAGGCGTATTGGAACTAGTGTATTGGGTTTTCATTAAACTCAGCATATGACACCTAGTAAGATAGGACAAGGAGATAGATCATGGTGCAGTACAGCACCCAGCAGACCTCGGGGAGAAGGAAAGCATCTCCAGTGGATGGCTCTTGTTCAGGAAGAAAGGTGGGCTTCTTTATAAATCACAGGCTGTAGGTAACAGACTGTTTCAAAAGGGTCCCTTAAGCCAGCCATACTTGCCAAACAACACTCTGGGGAGACCCCACACATCTCGACTTCTCTCCCCACCTGGGCGTTCCCCCACAGCCCAACCCTAAAAAGGATAAGATGTGATATGATTCCCTAGTCCTGATGCATTGGGTCATTGAGACTCATTTCCCAGAGGCAGGAGCTAGCCCAGAGGTGGACCGGAACATGGCAAGTGGCCCTGGGGAGCCTGATGGGCATTTTTGACATCACCCTGGCTGAGTCTGTTGTCTGGGGCCTGCTTCTTAGTCTCCATGGGCCTCATCTTTCACATCTGTGAGAGTGAAGCATTTCTACTAAGTGGGTGATCCTCAAATTTCAGTGTTTATAATCACATGTAGATTTTGATAAAATGCAGACTGCCAGGCTTCATGCAAACAAAGATCTGGATCAGGGTCCATGAATGTGCAATTTTCATAAGGATGTTGGTGAGTCTGATAAGGAAGTTTCAGGGACACATTTCTAAGCAGCACCAACTAGGGCAACACTTCTCATTTTAGCACCTGGTACCTACAGGAGTCCTGATAGACAGTGGATGTGTGAGGTTCTTTGGTTCCACACATCAGGTCTGATGACATGTGCTTTTCCAGAATCCTCCCATTCCTGGAGTCTACCTACACACCTCCTTCCTATATATTAGAAATGGAGAAGGTGGCCAAGCAAGGGGACACCGTCCTGGTGTCCGGGATGAAGACCGGGAGCGCCAAACTCAAGGCTCGCATCCAGGAGGCCGTGTATCAGGTGGGCCTGGGCGCGGGAGGTGCTGGGCTTCCTGGGGAGGGGGCAGGATGCCTGTTCACCCCATATACACATTTCCTCATGGAAGTGAGATGCCCTGCCGTGAAAGTTTCACTGTCATGAAAGGGGAACTTCAAGGTGTGATTCCATGTTTTTGTTAGTTTGGTTTGGGTTTGGGGGCCACAGCTTAGCGAGAGGTAGTTGAGGCACCAGAGTGCACCATCTGGAGTCACAAAGCATTTGTTCCATTCTCAGTTTTGAAGGAGGTTCAGGAGCACTGGGATTTTCATTAATTAGCTTACTTTCAACAACTACCCCCTGTGCAAATATAGGGACACATCCAAGCACTGGGGACTCTGCGAACAATCCTGAGTTGCCCTCCATGCTGTCTCTTCCTGTGCCCAACAGAAGCCCTGAGACTGGCGGTTCCATTTGTGAAGGACTAGTGCTCCTCACCCTCCCTCCACCCCCAGTGTTGCCCTGGCCTCACCAGCACCTACTTTTCCATCAGTGCCTCGTTTTGAGAGGGGTACAGTAGGAAAAGGGTGGGTTTTGTCACAGTCCTGGCTCTCTCCAGATTCTTGTGGGAAGATGTCTGCCCTGCCTGCAAACTGCAAACCGGAGCTCTTCCTTTTGTTGGCCTGGTTCCTGGGTCACAGGCAGACAGGTAGTGTTACTTCATCTGCCTTTTAATCTGCAAAGTGACAGATGACAGAAACCTCCCCACATTCAGACTCTTTGGCAGATTAGCCAGTAGTTTGGGAGTCCTGGAGGGTTTTGGAAACATGGGAAGTGCCATGGCACAGGGCTGACCCTACAGGACTCTGCTCTTTGGAAACAGTTTGCCTCTTAGGATCCTGGGCCCTGGTGTGGTGTGCAGGGCTGAGATGGACAGGCCCTTTGTCCTGCCTGTGTTGGTAAAGGGCTTCCCTGCCTGCCTTTCTGGGAGGCACCCACCACAAAGCCTGGCCCAAGGGAGGGGCTCTGTATGTTCTTTGATTTTTCAATAAGTCAAGGATATTATTTAACTTATTGTTAAGCCAGGAAACCTGTAAAATGTTACAGCTGAGTCAAAAGAGAACCCAAATAATTTATGAATAGATGCCAAGCTGGTCAATATCCATTGGGCGGTAATCATTTGCCCCCCCCCCCCGCCCAGGGAAAATGGGTTTCCATGTCTGTGGATGGGAATCATCTGCTTTGCCATCAGTTTTGTCCAACTTGCAGAGTTGCCAAGCAGTGAGATGGCAATGGAAGGCACGGCCCCGTAGGACCCAGTGGCGATGGTGCACTGCAGTCCACACAGGTGGTCTTTCTCCCACTCAGAGTCACTGAGGAAGAGGCCTTAGTGGGGCTTCATGTTGGTCAGGGACGGGCCCAGAAGCAGGGGCTGAGTGCTCTCAGGGACACATGCCTCCCCTTTTCACGTTGGCCTCAGGTTTCCCAACCCTTCTGTGGAGAGAGCCCCTGAGCCCCTGGTGACCACAGTATCCATGAAAATCACTCCTGGCTCCTCACTTCGCATTCTGTTTAATTTTTATTGTTGTGAATTGAGCTGTAACACACTTAGAGGGAGCGCTGAATGCATGCTTGCGGCACAAGCGCGGCTCCCCTGGGGCTTTGGGATCCGAAGGCATTGCCTCATTCTTTCACCCCTACCTTCCCTGTCCTCACATGAACATACTGAAATGTTCTAAAGGTTCCTTCTCTTGGCCACACCCACTCTCCTGTCCCTGACCCCACCTCACCTGTTCTACCCTCTTCTTTATGCCAAGAATGTCCATGCTGCAGAGGTGAGGCTACTAATTTTGGAGAATATCCTTCTGAACCCAGCTTATGATGTTTACCTGATGGTGGGGACCTCCATTTGCTACAAGGTGCAGAAGATCAGGCAAGGAAAGATTACAGGTGAGTCACCGACTCAGGTAAAACATACATAATATAACATTTACCACGTTAACAGTTCAGTGGCATTAAGTACACTCACATTGTTCAGTAACCATCACCACCATCCATCCACAGAACTCTTCATCTTGTAAAGCTGAAACTCTGTCCCCATCCAACACTCTCCACCCCCTTCCCCAATCCACTGCTTTCTGTCTCTATGAATTTACTTCTCTAAGTACCTCAAATAAGTGGAATCAAACAGTACTTGTTTTGTGACAGGCTCATTTCATGTAGCATAGGTCCTCTAGGTTCACCCATGGTGTAGCACGTGTCAGAATGTCCTTCCTTTTTAAGGCTGAATAATATTCCATTGTATAGACGGACTACATTTTGTTTACCCAGTCATCCTTCGGTGGATGCCTGGGTTGTTTCCATCTCTTAGCTATTGTGAATAATGCTGCTGTGAACATGGATGTGCAGATATCAAGTTGAGACCCTGCTTCCAGTTCTTTTGGGTATTTATCTGTGAGCTTCACATTGGACTGGGTTCTACCCTTGGTTTGCCATCCATTGCTGAGCAGCCTTTGCAAGCCATCCCCCCCTTTTGAGACTCATTTTCTCCATCAGAGCCCTTGAGGCCTTTCTGCCTGCTCTGTGAGGGCAAATTGAATGGATGGACATAGATTTGTTCTGGAGTTTCAAAGAGCTGTGTACATGTGATACATTTCATATAGTGAGTGTTCTTAATGCAGCACCAATCCTACTAAGAATTATTATTATTATTGTCATTTTGTTTAGCATTTACACGTTTCATGGTTAGAGCACAGGGTGTCAAGAGTCTCTGGAACAAGAGTGTTGCACTCGGGGACCATCATTTGAGGGCCTGGACCTGTGTCTGGGCAGGTGCCTCCCCCAGGTTAGGGGCTGCATGCCTGTGATGCAGGGTGCTGTTTAAGAAGCTGCATGCTTCAGCTTTCAACCAGCTTGGTTGAAAAGACAGCACCTTAGCTGAGAGGAGTATTACTGTGTGGCACCCTTAGAAGGCCACAGAAGCCAAGAACAGGCCACTCCTGCCTCTGGGCCTGGCTCTCTCTGACATGGGGTGCACCCTGAGAACATCCCCACAGTAGGATCGGTGAGGGAGAAGAGGGCTCTTAGTACTTATAGCAGGTGTCTATGTTGCTTGCAGGGTGATGTTTCTACTCAGTCCTGTTGGCGTTTGGATTGCTTGCAAACATGATGGGCACAGTAACCAAATTATTAGACAGAACAAAATGTGGGAAGGACATGCTGGCTGATGGAATTGGTATCTGAGAAAGACTTGAGTGATTGGAATGGTGGGATTTATTGACATAAAGTGTCCTGAGGTTTGGAAAACCAACTGCATGGGTGAATGGATGTGGGCCGGGTTCCTGTGTCAAAGACAATGTTGGAGGGACTTAGAACCCAGTCCACCCTTGAACCATGGCTGCTCAGAACTAAAGCACACTGGTTGCATGAGCAGGGGCTGGAGTGAGCCCATGCCAAAGCAGGAAGTGAGCCCATGCCATCCTGAGCTCAGGCCACCACCCAGCAACTCCATGGTCATCCCTGGACCCTACCTGGGGCAGGGGACTCTGACAATTAGAAGCACGTCTGGAGAGCCAGTGGGAGGGGTCAGAGACCATGTTTCCTAGGAGAATGTAAGGGCAGCCTTGAGGATGGCCATCTATTCTCTGCAATATGTCTGATCTGGGACCCCAGGAACAGTGGACAGTGACCCTTAACATCTGAAAAGCCTCCCATATTCAGGGCCTCTGACAAGTAGTGAGCCTGCATTATAGGAGGTATTTAAGGAGTCTGTTAGGCTCCTCCTCATTTTTATCATTTTAAGGTTTTGTATATACATAGTAGGGCAAAAGTAGGTTTATCATCTTTCATATGGCAGTAATATAATGATTTATAAATAGTAATACAAGAATGGAGGAGATAAGGGGGGAGGACAAAATGAAAGAAGGTGAAGGGATTAGCCAAAGAACATATCTGCATAACCCATAGACACAGACAACATTGTGGTGCTCGCCAGAGGGAAGTGAGGGGCTTGGGTAGTTGGGTGGAGGTGGGCAAAGGTGGGGAGAATGGGGACATCTGTAATAGTGTCAACAATTAAAATAAAGTTAAAAAAGTAAGAATAAACTGTTTCACATGCTCACAACTGTAAACATACTTTTGTCTGGTCTGTATAGTTATGTCTGAGTTGTGCAAGGTCCCTCGAGAGTCAGTATATTCATTTGGAGAACTTTAGACAGGGAGGCAGCTAGTGCTTCAAAAAGCAGCGTAAAGGAAAGCTGCTCTACTGAGTGAGCAGTGGCACCATCTCATTTTACTATGACCTGCATCCTTGACACACTGTGGCCACATGCTGAACACGGGTGCATACTCCGCTCAAATCACAACAGCGCTGCCGGACTCCCCAGTTAGAGGCAAGGAAATGAGCAGTGTACGCACTTTAAGTGACTCAGCCCTAGGCCAGAATCACCTGGCGGGCCTGTTCACAGCACTGGGGCCACCCCCTGAGTTTGCTTCAGCAGATCCCCATCCCCAAGGGCCCACTATGTGAGGTTCCCAGGTAAGGCTGCTGGTCCAGGGACCACACGTTGAGAACCCTCTGCTCTAGGGTAGAATCTTGGGGACTAATCAGAACACACAAAAGATTCCCCAGTACAGGAAATGGGCAAGTTGCCTTCCTTCAGATTCATTCTGAAGGCTGCTCCAGCTGAAATTTCTCCCAGGGCTGAGCAGGGAAGTTGTCCTGCATTGTCTATGGCCTCTTTCATCTCTTGCTGGATGGCTGGAACATGCCCACTCCTCCTGGCCTTGGTGAGTGGGTTACTTGACAGGAAACTGGCGGAGAGGGCGTGTCAGAGTGGTGAGACTCGAGACTCGGTGGTCTCAGTCCCGGTCTCAGTCCCAGGTCTGTGGGACCACTCCCAAGCTTCTCATTTCATTTCCACAGCACTCATTTCCACAGCACTACCATCTCGAGATGCAGGCATCGGGAGTGCCTGTTTCAAGGGTTGCTGAGGGACAAAATGGGGTAATGTGCACATACTAGTGGAACGTTGGCTCAGTCCCACACCATCTTGGTTTCCTGGTCAGCAGTAGCCGCTTAGATCAAAAGTGCTTGTGCGGGAGATTGACAGAGAGGGTAGGTTCTGTCAGCTGTTATTTCCCAGGGAAATTGTTTTCATCCTGGCCCCGCTGAGCTAGTTCTCTCTACAACACAGCATGGAGCAGGGAAGTATTGATGATGGTCAGGATTAGCAACAGAGAAGATTCTTTGCATATTCTAGACTCAGCTCCCCAAAGCATGTGGCACACCACGGACCAGCACCTTTTCTGGAAACTTCCAGGGGATACCCAGCCCAGGGAGCCCCATCCGGACTCTCGGTGCAGCAGAGTGCACTTCTGCAGTGAACACAAAAGGGCCTTGATATTCCGCAAGCAGGAGGCCCTGTGACAGAGGCTGTGCTAAATTTTAAAAAGCAGCATTTGGCAGCCTCAAAAAGCTGATTGCCTCTAGGATTCATGAAGAGTGTCAGCTTTCTCCACAGGCATGGGAAATAATACTAAAACTTAAAGTGTTGAAAAAAATAAGCAAAAAAATATCATGTAGCTGTACTGGCAGCAGGGATTCAGGGTGCGGTTGACACATCGGCTCCTGACGTTTCCTATCTTCTCGCTCCCTCTCTCCCACCTGGCTCTGTTTGGGTTTTGGTGGCCAGAACTCTCAATGCCTTCAGATCAGTACCAACTGCAGCTTCAAGACCACATCCAGGGCCCTACGGGAGACCCCAGCCGGCCTGTGGCTGTCTTGGCTCAGGACACAACGACGGTCACTGCCGTGCAGCTGGGACAGAGCAGCCTGGTCCTGGCCTACAAGAGTATCCTTTCCTTGGGCCAGCACGCCCCGTGCAAGTCCTCAGTGCGGGGACTATCCTTTCCTCAGACCAGCATGCCCGATGCATGTCCTATGCTCAGGGGATCTGCTGTTTGGAAGGGGAGTCTTTTTCTCCTTGGAAGCTGGGCTAGGCTAAAAATAGCCCTGTTTTCCCTCAAGGTCTGAAAATCAGAAAGATTGCTCACCTCTGTGGGTAACTCACTGGAGAAGCTCCCGCATGGGAGCTGGTTGTGGGCCTGGAGCCTCACTCCCAACTCCAGAACGCCTGCGATCTCTTCTAAGGGGCTGGCTGAAGCTGTTTCCACAATGGTGTCATCCCTTGTCTCAGACTTGGGGTGTCTGTGTGCCTCCAGTGTCCTCTGCAGAGACCCCCTTTGCTGGTGTAGGAAGCACGGAGTGACTCTGATTCTGGAAACGGCTCTGCCCCACTTGACACCAGGCAGGGAAGTTTCCCTCCCTCCTCTGTCCATGTGGTGGGTGATGGGAGCCATCCTACCCATGCTGAAGCCTGCCAGCTGGTTTACTTACCGCCTTGTGTTTTGTTCCTTAATGAGGAATTCAGGTATCCGTATGCAGGGTGCTTCCAGGTTACCTAACAGCACCATCTACGTGGTGGAACCCGGATACTTGGGTGAGTGTGAGCATCCTAGGTCCTGGATGCTGTTCTTTTTTTATTACATGAGTTAGGAAAATAAAATAAAAGTAACAACTCCCCAGAGGATGCTTCACTCTGACCAGCTCAACCAGCTGGGAGGCCTGGGGCCATCAGCACCCACCTGCCCTTGCCAGGGCTGCTCCTCAGTCCTTCCCCTGTCCGAACCCAGAATCTGTCAGAGGCTAGATGGGGTCAGGGAGGTGGCCAGCTCGTCAGGGAGAGAAATGGGATAGGGTAGAGTGGGGAAGGGCTTTGTCTCTCGCTGGCTTTCATAGCAGGGCTCTGTCCAGACCTGATCATGGCCATGGACATTTGGAGGTGAGAAGGGCCCCTGAGGTACCATGATAGTTGGTAGATGTCTCCTTGGTAGGAAGGGGAGGCTTTTGTCAGGAGGAGGGGGGGAACCCATAGCCATGGGTACAGCCAGTGCCTGGGAGCTTCCATGACAGATGAGGACTTGAGATGTGTCCGGGACACTCTGGGTCACCAATGCAATACTTCTTTTGGTCTGGGCTTGCTCACCTGTTGAGTGCAGTGACATGGTGCAGCAACCCCAAAGTTTTCTTGTGTGCTGCCATGTCAGATTGCTGTTTGGTGCAGACCTCTGTGGATGATGTGGTGACACCAGGCAGGATGGCCCTGCGTGTCTTAGGAGCTCCACTTACTTAGAAATGCCTCCTTGGCATCTCCCAGCTGTCTGGTCTATGCTGGGCAGGGTGTTCCAGAAGGCAGACAGGATTCTTGGTGCTTGGTGTTGTGGGGAGAGGCCAGCACAGCAGGCAGTGACAGGACAGCTGGGAGGGTTAATGAGAGTGCAGAGAAAGGCTTCAGGGATATGCTAATTGAGGCAGGCCTTTTCTAAGAAGCTGCTTTTGCTGGTGGGTCATCATGGCTCAGAGAGCAGCATGGGTAATGGTGTGGAGGTGAGAAAGCACATAGCATCACAGGGGGCAACAGGCAGCTGGTGTGGCATCTACTGTGGGAACAAAGCAGGGGGCCTGGAAGCAGTGCAGGCTCACTCGGGGAGTGTACCCAGTGCCAGGCCTCACGCAAACCTGTGCATTTAGAATGTAGATACAATGTGGGTTCAGAGTGCAGCCCTAGGGTAGACTCAGAGTATAGCCTTACTGTGGGGTCAGAGTGTAGACCCACTGTGAATTCAGAGCATATACCTACTGTAGATTCAGAGTATAGCCTCACTGTGGATTCAGCGTATAGCCTCACTGTGGAGTCAGAGTATAGCCTTACTGTGGATTCAGACTGTAGACCCCCTGTGGATTCAGAGCATAGACCTACTATGGGTTCAGAATATAGACTCACATGGATTCAGAGTGGGCTTACTGTGTATTCAGAGTATATATCAGTATGGGATTTTGACTTACTATGGACAGGGTCAAGTTTGAGTGAGTATTGAGCAGTCAAGCGTGGGATTGTCCTGGGGAATCTTAGAGATCAGCTCAGGTTTGTAGGGCTCAGCGCTGAAGCCCAGCATCAGATCCCACAGTCATTAACAGCTGGACTTTTTCCATGGAGGAATATAGGTGAGCGGTTGTGGGCTATCTAGGTGAGTGCTATGGGGCCCTTCCAGTGAGCAGTTATAGGTCTCTCCAACTGAGTGGTCTAAGCTCTTCCAAGTAGGTAGTTGTGGGCCCTCCAGGTAAGTAGATGTGAGTCGTCCAGGTGAGTGGTTGTAGGTACCTTTAAGTTGAGCATTTGTATGTCTCTTTAGGTAAGTGGTCTGGGCCCTTCCAGATAGGTGGTTGTGGGGCCTCCAGGTAAGCAGTGTGGGCCCTCGTGCTAATGGTGCTTGGTCCCATCCTGTATGTCCCTGTGGCCTGAGTCATCAGATGCTGCCACTTGCCTTTCTTACAGGATTCACAGTCCACCCTGGTGACAGGTGGGTGCTGGAGACTGGACGCGTATATGAAATTACCATTGACGTGCTTGATAAGTCTGGCAACAAGGTCTACCCATCTGATGTGAGTGCCTGCCTAGGGTCCTGGGGTGGGGATGGGGGCAGGGATGGGGAGGTGGAATAGCTTCTAAATGAGCTGCCCCCAAAGAACAGGGTTCCCCATGCAGGCAGGCTGAGTTCAGGAACTTCCTAGTGGTACTGTTAGGCCTACAGGAGGCACTGTGTGGGATCCCTGGGGCATCTCGAGGACCAGTACACCTGTGCATCTGCACCCCACAGACTCACTCCCACAGAGCTGAGCAGGAGAAGAGGCTACAGGCAGCAGGATTGAGGAAGTGGTGGTGAGGAGGTGGTGTCTGCCAGCTGTGATTAGCTGTAAGGGTTTCAGTGTCCTTTACTGTATTTGGTGGTGTCCTTGCTGGGACCTCAGGGCCTATGAAAGCTGACTGTAGGCTTTTAGCTCCCAGGAGCCCCACGGGGTAACTATAGCAGGAGCACTGGGTCGTCAGGTCAGGTGGGGAGGGAAGCCCGGGAGGGGTCAAGGCCAGCGTGGGCTTTGTCCAGCTTGTCTGCTGGCTTTTGGAGGCCTGCGAGCCTTGGGGCCCTTCGCCTGGCCTGACTGCTGCTTTCAGGTCACATGGCTTCTGGCCTGCATCTGACTTTCCTGGGTTGTCTGAGAAGCACCTCTCACCCACCCTGCCTCGCCTTCCAGAACATCCGCATTGAAACTGCACTTCCCTCTGAGTTCTTTGAGGTGCTCTCTTCTTCAAAGAATGGGTCATCCCATCAGGTCAGGCCAATAAAGAGAGGCCAGACGGCTGTGGAGGCAGCCCTCACCTCCGTGGTAGATCAGGTAAGTCGGCGCCCCACATCCACCTTCTGTGCCCCACAGGCAGAAGTGTTCACCCAGGCTGGATGGGAGCCCTGGGGAGTCAGGGACCCAAGCTCGACAGTTACCTTGAGGGTCCCTCTCTCTCTGGGCTCACAAAGGATGTCTGGGGGCAGCTTTGGGCTCTTCCTGTCACCTGTCCTCACACCAGGCCAGAGGCCCTCTTCCTCTGCCAGCCCCCTGTAAGAGTGAGCCTGCACCTTTGGGAAGAGGCCAGAACTCTTGCTGAGGAACAGTGTTGGGCCCCTGTATCCAGCTGCACCAACCAGGAGCCACCAGCATCCCTTTGGCTGTTTTGGCTGTGGGTCCTTCAAAGTCTCTTTTATTTTTAAAGTTTTTACATATACATATTTTTTAAATTTATCTTATCATTGAGAGTATTACAGATGTCCCCTTTTTCCTATTGATCTCCTCCACCCCTCAACCTCCCCACCCCCCCAACTCCAAGACCTTCATGGTACTAGTGTCTGTGTCCATGGGCTATGCATATATGCATATACGTATATACGTTCTTTGGTTAATCTCTCCTCAGCTTCAAAGTCTTTTCATTTTTTCCTGTACTTAAAAGGCCAATCAGTTTTAGGTGGGAGTAATTCTTTACTGATGGGAACATTGGCATGACTGTTCTCATCTGCCTACCCTGCACCAACCTCTAAGAGGCAGTAGAAAGAAATGGCGTGTGGACCGCACTGCAATTCCTACCCAAATCTTCCCTGGGGGCTTTGGGCGAGTTGCTTTAGCATACCACACCTCAGTTTTCCCATTGTAAAGTGGGGATACCCACATCCATTCTGTCAGGGGGTCCCTGAGGATGAAGTCAAGCAGCATTTACTCCAGTGGTCATTATAGAGCCGCACAAAGCCATCTCCAAGGAGATGGAGAGGCTGCAGGTTATCTGGCATTTCCTTCCCACTCCCCCTTCGTGTCTGATCCCCAGGGAGGGGCAGGGGTCTGCTTGACTGGGAAAACTGCTGCAACCTGGTTGTCATGGTGATGTGGGGCACCCTCATCCCCTTGTAGGATGGAGGGGTCCACATGTTACGAGTGCCTGTGTGGAACCAGCAGGAGGTGGAAATTCACATCCCCATCACCCTCTATCCCAGCATCTTGACATTTCCGTGGCAACCAAAGACAGGCGCCTATCAGTACGTGATCAAGGTAACTGGGAGCCCCAAGTCTGGCTGCACTCTTTTGGGCGTTTCCATGGGATTGAGACTTTTAGGACATTATGTTTCATCTAATATTATCTTCTAGGTTGGGTTCTAGGGGCTGGAGAGAATTTAAAATCAGAGAGTCTTTATTCTTTATTTCTGAGGTTTCTATCACAGCTGTACATTTTGATAATCAGAAAAAAAAAACACCTGAAAAATAGAAAGTAAAGCAAAATAAAGAAAACCTGGAATACCGATATAACTTCCATATGCATTTGGTGTTTTTTTTAATTATTGATTTTAGAAAGAGAGGAAGGGAGGAAGAAAGAAGGAAAGACAGAAACATTGATTTGTTGTTTTATTTATTTATGCATTCATTGGTTGATTCTTGTATGTGCCCTGACCAGGGATCGAACCTACAACCTTAATGTATTGAGACAATGTTTTAACCAACTGAGCTACCTGGCCAGGGCCACATACATTTGTTTTTGTAAAAAAATTGTTTTCCCAAAGCAGTGTAAATATTCGTAGAGAAAAAATTGAAATGTAAGAGAAAATGTCTCCAACCCTGTTATTTACCAAGTGTTCTTGGGCATTTGTCAGCATGGACTGATTGATTCCTTTGGGCCTTTTGAGCCCTTGAGGGCAGCGTGTTCCCCATCAGTCCCCACCTCCCTGGCAGTGATGACAGGTGTCCTGTCTGTGCACTGGTGCCCACTGCCAGGTGTGTCACCGTCCTGGCCCCTCTTGGGTTCTAAGGTGGTGGCCCCTGTTCTTGAGAGCTGGCGGACTGTTGTTTACTTCATAGCAGATGGCTAGGAGTGGGCAGGGGTGTGTGCTGGGAGGGAGCGTTGTGTCTGGTCAGAGGCAGCATCCTGCACCGGGCCCCATGGCCTAGGGTCCATCCATTCCAGCCTGGGCTCTGGGAGGTACCCCTGGGCTGTGGGGCCACTGTCATGGACATGTGGGTATGTGTACGTCAGCCACAAGGTCCCTAGAATGTGAGGACTAGACCGGGGTAGAGTGGAGAGAGTGAGGCGTGGAGGCAGCCTCCAGTCAGGCATGGGGTGGATGACATGTTTTTCCTTGCAGTGGGGGACACTGATGTGTGAGTAGGTGTGAGTGGGGGGTGAATGTGAGTGGGTGTGTGTGAAGTAGAGAGAGGCCATGCGGGTGCACTGATTAGATGATGATTTTTTTCCCCTAGGCCCATGGCGGGAGTGGGAACTTCAGTTGGTCTTCATCAAACTACGGTGGGGGACACTGATGTGTGAGTAGGTGTGAGTGGGGGTGAATGTGAGTGGGTGTGTGTGAAGCAGAGAGAGGCCATGCGGGTGCACTGATTAGATGATGCTTTTTTTCCCCTAGGCCCATGGTGGGAGTGGGAACTTCAGTTGGTCTTCATCAAACTACATGGTTGCCACAGTCACCGTCAAGGGTCTGATGACCACAGGCAGTGACATGGGACTCAGTGTGATCCAGGCTCATGATGTTCAGAACCCGCTCCATTTTGGGGAGATGAAGGTAAGACCTCAGGGGCCAGGACAGCCCAGGGGGTGATGTCTAGGCCTCAGGCTTAATTCAGAATCACCCTTTAGCCCTTGGTCTTATACTTAGTGTTGACAACAGGTGAAGTGGTAGTGGATCAGGCCCTAGCCCTGCCCTTGAGGAGCTCCCAGCTGCATCAGGGAGATGGGAATGGCATCCCGCACCAGGCAGGGGATGGGACCAGAAGGGCCAGGGTCAACATAGCTGGAGTTTTTCGAGTGGAGACCAAAGAACACAGAACACAGGAGATAACCAAATGAGCTATTCTAGAACATTTGCCAGACCTAAAACATACGACTCTCCAAATTGGAAGGGTCGCTGACTGTCAGGTTGTAAGTGCCCAGTGAAAGGAAAGCCCAGGACTCCAGGAGACCCGGCCCAGCCTCTCTGCTTCTTGTTCAGATACAGTCAGGAGTCCCCTGTCCCCGGGCTCCACACCTGGCTTTTGACCCTAAGTGATGTGGGATCAACTCACTCAGCAAAGGCCACAGGTGAGAGTGGTCATCTGCAGCTGAGCCTGGTGGCCTCCTGACCCCACTTCTTTCCTTCCTCCCTGAACCTTTCATTACTTCACTTAGGGCAGAAATTGAAGGTCCATTCATGATGTGTCTAATACTGACCTTCTCTTATATTATTTGGGATATTGTTGATAGGCTATTTTGTCTTTTTATTGTTACACAAACACACACATCCCTACCTTAAAATTTAAGTTTCATATGAAGAGGGTTGTAATGGAGACCCTTTAGCTACAGCATAATTGTGAAATATTTGGATAAACTCTAACCACCTTGCCCATCCCCATCTCCCAAGCTTCTTCATCTCAGTAAATGTGCCACCTTCCACCCAGTTACTCAGCCAAAAGACAATTCCCTGATGGGCAGTGTATAATGGTTAGAGCCTGGCTCTCGGGGCTGGACTGCCTGGGCCAGACACCACCATGCTTCAGCCCAGATAGGTTCTTTAACCTCCCATGCCAGTTTCTTCATCAAGTATTGAGATTGGTAATAGAACCTTCTTAACAAGGAGACTGAGAGGAGTCAATGAGTTAGCAATATTCTCCTAACTGAACCTGGAGTCTGGTAAGTTTTGTTTATACAAAGATTGTTGTTTTTTAAAATATATTTTTATTGATTTCAGAGAGGAAGGGAGAGGGAGAGTGATAGAAACATCAATGATGGGAGAATCATTGATCGGCTGCCTCCTGTGTGCCCCACACTGGGGATCGAGCCCACACCTGGGCATATGCCCTGACTGGGAATAGAACTGTGACCGCCTGGTTCATAGGTCGACACTCAACCCACTGAGCCACACCTGCTGGGCAAAGATTCATTGTTTTTGATGATGGCTCTCTCTCACCCTGTACACTGCCTTCTTTATATTTTTCCAATGTGCTGAGGTGGTACATGCCTCAGGATCTTTGCTCGGACCATCTCTTTTCCCAGAATGTCTTTCCTCCAGACTTTTGTGGCTCTCAGATCTAAGCTCCTACATCACCTTTTCAGAGAGGTCTTCCCTGACGACTCTATCCCTGAACATTACCTCAGTCCCCAGCACACACCCGCATGCCCCTCAGGCTTGGTCTTCTCACTGATATATAGTTGGTACCCAGCACACAGTACTGTTAGTAAGTCCGAGCAGCAGGCCTTTCCTCTCCCATGGAGCCTGATGACCTAATCAACTCCCTGTCTTCCAGGTGTATGTGATTGAGCCCAGAGGCATGGAGTTCACCCCATGCCAGGTGGAGGCACGAGTGGGCCAGACCCTGGAGCTGCCCATAAGGATCAATGGCCTAATGCCCGGCGGGGCCAACGAGGTGGTCACCCTGAGCGACTGCTCCCACTTAGACTTGGTGGTCGAGGTGGAGAACCAGGGCGTATTCCAGCTGCTTCCAGGTAAATTAGCACTGATGAGCAGGTGCCAGATAGCAGTGGGTTGACGCCTTATGTTCAACATGGGCTGCTCTAGGCTCCTAAATACAGTGGGGCCTTGACTTACGAGTGTCCCGACTAACGAGTTTTTTGAGATACCAGCTGTCTCTCTGCCGATTTTTTGCATTGAGTTGACAGAGTAATTTGAGTTAACGAGCTCCTTAACGAGCTCGGAACGAATTAAACTCATAAGTCAAGGCCCCACTGTAGAGGGCTTGAGGCAGCAGGGGTCACAGCATGAGAAATGGCATTTGTCTCCTTGTGCTCCATCAGCAATGGTCTGATTTGGATCTTACCTGCCTTGTGACCTATTGTGTCACTGTGCTCTCTCAGCCTGTTTCCACATCTCTAATGCGATATCATACTAAATAGAATTGCATGTCACAGTGCCTATTGCAGCACCTGGACTGTAGTAGATGCTCAGAATACACTGTTGCCCACCTGGCGTGGCTCAGTGGTTGAGCATCAACCTATGAACCAGGAGGTCACGGTTCGATTCCCAGTCAGGACATATGCTCTGGTTGCGGGCTCGATCAATGATTCTCTCTCATCATTGATGTTTCTATTTCTCTCTCGCTCTCTCTGCCTTCCTCTCTGAAATCAATAAAAATATATTAACAAAAATAAAAATAAATAGGCCATGAATTAAACGTCACTGCTCTCCATCCATCCAGTCCCCTTTAAAGAATACACTGTTGATAAGGGGATTTGGTTAGGGACAGAATCACAACACCTTTGAGACATGTGTGGTCTAGCCCTCCAGAGCCATCAGCGCCCCATGCAGGGTTTGGGGGGGGGGTGGTGTCAGTGGTGTTGGTGGCAGTGAAAGCTTATTAATTTATAGGGTGTCAGCCCTGCCAGGTACAGGTAAGTGAGCCTCTGTGTATGCCCTCCTTAGACTTCACAACCATCACAGGAGGAGGAACTGGTGTTGGGCCATGTGTCAGATAAAGAGACTGAAGCTGTGTAGCCATCCAAGGTCACAAAGGGCACAGGGTGTGATGGTATGCAGATCCGAGTATGTCTGGGATACTGATCTGAAGCCTCAGTCCTCCAAAAAGTGGGTTTTGCAGGGAAGTCAGCTCAGGGGCAGCAGAGAGCTCCTCTTCAGTGTGCAGATGAAGAAAAGCAAGGACTGTTGAGCCATTGAGGAAGGACTAAGGTTTGAGCAGGGGTGGAAGTAACAGGGAAACAGGGAACAGCATTCAGTGCATGGGGCTCCTGAGGTGGGCATGTCCAGGGACGTGGGCACACGCATTGGACCTGGAATGGCTGAACTTGTTGAATCCTGAATTGTGGAGGGCACTGGAGGGCTTGGACCTCAGTGTCCAGGCAGTGGGGAGCCACTGACGGTCTGTGAGCAGAGCAGTGTGGCTTCATCCTGATGGGGCTGGGAAGCCCAGTTGGCAGAGGTGTTTGTAGAGTGGCCCGAGGTGCTGAGCAGCTTTTCACACCAGCGTCACAGCGTGGCTACCCATGGAGCCCTGTGAACTCGGAGCTGCGCAGAGGAAGGACAAGCTATGCCAGGTCCTCTCTGACCATCCAGGAGAACCAGCTGTGGGAGATCTTAAGTGTTCTTGGCGAGGCAACAATTTAGGGTGGAGGAAAACATTAGCGCGTGGGAGAGTCCTGCTGGCGGCAGGGAAGAAGCCTGCCTCCCAGTCCCCCACAGCTGTCCTGGAGGGGAATCGGCAGGCTCAGCCCAGGCGCTGGGTAAGCATCCAGGAGTCCAGGAATAAAGGACAGGCCTTGGAATTCCACACTCCTGGGTCTGAGCACCCCTTCTTCAATATTGGCTGAGTTGCCCAACCTCTCTGAGCCTTGGATTCTTCATGTATAAAGTGGGGATACCGGCCCCTTGCCTGCTGTGAGGGTTACAATGAATGTCCCTCAGCCCAGAGCCGGGGTTTGGTCCTGAAGACAGCAGCGGAGACAAGTCCTGTGGCAGCAAAATTTCCCTTAGAAAGCTCCTTAAGTGTCCCCCAATGTAGAGTACATGTGGCTTTCTGGAGGCTTGTGGTAGGGACCAGGTAACATGAGAAGCCTAGTCAGGGTAGAAAGGCGATGGCATCATGGAAATCCGTGGGATTCAGGACCAGATGGGGCCAGTAGATTGAGTGACACCTGCCCTAGGGCACAGGAGGCTCATGGAAGAGAAACATGAGAACCGATAGGATCCCAGTTAGGCTGACAGGGTCCTTCTCTTTCTCCGTCTCCCCCCCTAAGTGCAGGTCCTTGGTCTTGACCAAGTTAAGACACACCTGATGGAACTCAAGCCCTGGTTCTTGGAAAGGGCTTGACCAGGATCCCAGGCAACACCCCTACCAGCAGCATTTGAGTAATTTGGGGCCTTACCCTCTTCCTGCTGGACTTGCCACTGGGATCCCATTTCTGCCTTGTCCTCATCATGGAAGCCCCCTTAAGAGCCCCTTGGGGTTGTGGGTGTTACTGTGAACTTCTTCACGGAGCCCCCAGGATTGGGCTTGACCAGGTTGACCTCTGGGGGTGACAACCCCACAGCTCTTGTCCCCACCCCAGCCCTTTCTCTGTTCTCAGACTCAGCTGATTTCTAGCCCCTTGTTCACTGAGCACCTCCCAAGTGCTATGCCCTGGGGTCCCCTGGTTACCATGAGAGCTGTGGTCTCACCTTCATGGCCTTTACAGTCTAGTAAGACAGATGGTGCAGTGGGCAGGAGTGGTGCTGAGACAGTGTGCCAGTGTGGGAGCAAGGGTCCTGGGGGCTCTGTCTCACTCCTGGCCGTGAACCCACCAAAATGCCCAAACACGTTCCCCAGAAGAGATGTGCTAAAGAAAGTGCCTACGCCAGTTTGGAGGGGTGCAGGAAGGCTGAGACCTGAAGGATGGGACTGGGAGGAAATGGGAAGAATATTCCAAGGAGCAGGAAGAGTGTTGTAAGCCTAGAGACAAGAAAGGATGTGGCACACTCCGGCTCCTGCCAGGTTGGGGCAGGTGGGCCTCCACTTTCCAGGGCAGGTCCTTGGCACCAGAGTAAGCCCCTTGGGGCTCCATCTTCAGCATCTTCCTACAAAGGGCCCACCTCCCTACTTATAATTCAGAGTCACGTCCAGATAAACGTTTGTGCAGACTCCTTGTACCTGACTGGAAGACAGCAGGGTCCATACTCAGACCCATCATTTCCCTGTTGTTTTTGTGTAATGTGGACACAGATGGCCCATTTGGCAGTTTCAGTTTTCAGGAGCTCCTGGGCTCTGCCTGTGGACTCTGGCCTGCCCTTCTTGGTGGGCACAGCAGTGGCCATTGGCGAAACAGCATGCATTGAAATGTGTCCTGCCGAAACCGGTTTGGCTCAGTGGATGGAGCGTCGGCCTGCGGACTGAAAGGTCCCGGGTTCGATTCCGGTCAAGGGCATGTGCCTGGGTTGCGGGCACATCCCCAGTAGGAGATGTGCAGGAGGCGGCTGATCGATGTTTCTCTCTCATCGATGTTTCTAACTCTCTGTCTCTCTCCCTTCCTCTCTGTAAAAAATCAATAAAATATATTTAAAAAAAAAAAAGAAAAAAAAAAAGAAATGTGTCCTAAGGGTGGAGGAGATTGTTCTCAGATGTCCACAGCAGCTCTTTGACTAATTGCTCCAAACTGGAAAGAACCCAAATGCTGATCAACTGGTGAATGGATAAGCAGACTGCGGGACATCCTGGCAGTGGAGAACTTCTCAGCAATGCAAAGGAAGCAAGCCATTGATCACGCAGCAGCATGGCCAAGTTTAAAAAATACACTGCATGAGACGAGCCAGACATGAAGAGTGCAGTTTGTGGATGTGTAGTGTGAGGCAAACCGGTCCATGTGGAGACTGAGTGTAGAGCAGTGGTTGCCAAGGATGGGGTCTAGGGGAGGAGGGTGACTGCTCATGGGTATGGAGTTTCTTGCTCGGGGTGAAATGCTCTAAAATTAGTGGCGATAGTTGCACAACCCCATGAATATGTTAAAAACCACAGAATTGCATGTGCATTTTAAATGGGTGATTCTGCAGTATGTGATTTATATTTCAGTAAAACTAGTATTAAAAAAAACTAAACTATGGTGGAAAAAATCAGAATGGTATAGTGATGGCCTGTAGGGGAGGAGTGGCTGGGGATTGCCTTGGAAACCACTGAGGGACCTGGGGCGGTGGGGATGGTTCTGTACGTGGGGGATTAGGGCTTCCAGATAGCCAGAATTCATGGTCTGGTCTGTGCATTTCACTGTGTGTAAATTTGATTTTTAGAAAAACAGAACCATAAAGAAATATTAAACTGTAGATAATTACCTGTTTGATAAAGTATTTAGAATGAAGTATTCTGACACCTGCAACTTACTTTTAAATGCATAAAAAATAAGATCAGCCCTGGCCGGTTTGGCTCAGTGGATAGATCATCAGCCTGCAGACTGAAGGGTCCCAGGTTCAATTCCAGCCAAGGGCATATGCCCGGGTTGCGGGCTTGATTCCTTCCGCCCCCCCAGTAGGGGGCGTGCAGGAGGCAGCCAGACAGTGATTCTTTCTCATTGATGTTTCTATCTCTCTATCTCTCTCCCTTCCTCTTGGAAATCAATAAAAATATATATAGTTAAAAAAATAAGATCAATTGGTCAATGGGTAGGGGATGGATAGATAATGCAATAACAGAAATAAAGCAAAATGGTAATTGTAGAATCTAGGGGGTGGCAATATGGGGTTTCACAATATAATTTTTTCTAAAAGTTTGGAAAGAAAACAATAGAACTCTGCTATACTCCCACTAGAATGGCCTTTTTTAAAAAGGGTGGAAAATACCAAGTATTGGCAGGGATGTAGCATGGCCTTTAGAAATAGTATAACTTGTTACAACCATTTTGGGAAAGGTATTAGGCAGGAATGTTGAAAGCTGAACATACGCATGATCCTAGGCAATAGGGATAAGGGGTGCACATATGGCATTCTTAGGGACACACTCAACAGAAAGGCCGAAATATGTCCACCCGAAGAAACATACACCGAAAGAAATGTTCTCAGCAGCGCTGTGTGCCATTGTGCTGACCGGGAACAGCCCAGGACTTTGCAGTAGCATGGAGAAATCTACTCTTCACACAACAGAACCATGTATACAAATATGGATAAAAGATCTACAACATGCATAACATAAGGAGGGATCTCACCATCCACAATTAGTTGAAGAGGGCAGACACAAAGGAGTGTAAGCTCAGTGGATCCCTTTATATAAAACTAGAGGCCCGGTGCACAAAAATTTGTGCACTCGGGGGGCAGGGGAGGGGGGTCCCCCAGCCCGGCCTGTGCCCTCTCGCAGTCTGGGACCCCTCGGGAGATAACGACCTGCTGGCTTAGGCCTGCTCCCGGGTGGCAGAGGGCAGGCCCAATCCCTAAGTGCAGCCCCTGGTCAGGCTCAGAGCAGGGCCGATTGGGGAGTTGGGGCGCCGCCCCGTCATGCACAGAGCAGGGCGGATCGGGAGGTTGCAATGCCACCCTCAGTCACGCTCAGGGTAGGGCCGATTGGGGGGTTGGGCCACC